AGCGGCGGCGGATCTATCCGTTGCAGAGCAGGTACTTTTCTTTTTCTCTTTTTTTTTTTTTTTTTTTCGTTTTTGGGTATGATTTGAACTCACATACAATGCATGCAACGCAGAAACGAGCAAAGGCAGAGACAGAGCTCGAGCAACTGAAGGAAGCGGACAAAAAAGATGAAGAAAGAGCAGTGGAATTTGAACAGAGTCGAATCACCGAAGAAGAAGAAGAAGTGAAAAAACAAAAAGAAACAGCCCAGGCACTCATCGCAGAAGAACAAAAACTAGCAGATACACTCCAAGAAGAACTAGCTGCACTAGAAGCTGAAGTAGGAGCAACAGAAGCAGATACAAAAGCAGCAGATACAAAACTAGCAGCAATGATAGCTGAGGCTGTTGGAGAGGAAAGCAATGAGGGAGCAGCAGCAACAGCAGCAGATGCAGAAACACTAGCAGCAGAAGAGAAAGCTGAACATGAACAGAAAGAAGCAACACGCGTTGCTGAGATTGCACAACATATAACACAACAAACTACAGAAAAACTACAACAAGCAGCAGAAAAAACAGAAACTGAGGCAGAGAAAGAAATAGTTGAATCCATAGGAGAAGTACAAACTCAAGTGCTTTCAGATATACAACAAAGCGAAGAAGAAGAACAGAAAGCCATTCATACACAAGAAAAAGCAGAGAAAGAAGAAAAAGAAGAAAAAGAAGAAAAAGAAGAAAAAGAAGAAAAAGAAGAAAAAGAAGATTCAAATGCAACAGAAAAAGAAGATGAATCTGAAAGTGATAAAGATGAAGAAGAAGAAGAAAAAGTATTTATTTTTTTTTCGTTTTAGTTTCGTTTTTTTTGTATACATAATACAATAAGAACAGATTGCCCCCAAAGAAGAAAGTAAAGACCTTCTGTTTCTTTTGCGTTACATAGCAGCAACAAGCCCCCCTGAGGAGACAAAAAAAGAAGAAAAAGAAGAAAAAGAAAAAAAAGAAAAAGAAAAAGAAGATATAATAAGTGATCTACAGCCTGTAGTGTTTCCCGTTGCTGCAACAAAACAAAGACAAGCAGCAGCAGAACCTCTCGAAGCTGAACCCCAGCTGGTATGTGTATTTTTTTTATAAATTTTATCAACAAGTTCAGGTGTATATACACCTGAAATAATAT